GAAAGTGATTCCGTCTTTTTTAATCAAATGCCATTTATCATACTTTCGACGCATAAAAAGTTTCATGAACTTTAAAATAAATCTTCTTAATTTAATAATCGACCAGTTCTACTTAGCAAATTTCTAGTTTCATACGAAGAAAAAGAATATTTTTTCTCCTAGGAAATAAAATAATAGAGAAAGGGAAATTTTTATTTATTTACTTAAAAATGTCTTTCCCGCTTCCATTATTTTCCACCCGTCAAATAATTTTCTCTCGTCTGAAAAAATAAATGTCGGGAATTTTTTTTGTATCTGTTTATTCGTCATTTTGTAGGCATTTTTTCTCCTTTAAACTTGAAATGTTACCTACTTTTATAAAATATTGAAGCTACCTGTTAATTTAGATTGTCTTTAAGTTTTTAATACCTGTATCCGCCTGGCGTAAGTTTAAGCTGACGCTCCCCCCAAACACACACACCATATAATGTGACCATCTTGCTTAAAATTCTTATCTTCTTGAGTTACAGTGAAAACTTAGAAACATAGTTCGGTGAATTTTTTTTACTTTATAATGTAAGTTTAAGTTCCTTCTAAAAAAAAAAATTCTGCTTCTAACGTCTCCGTCTAAAACTCTGAAATTTATACTACTTGATTTCCAGTTCCTTCTAAAGTCTTTTCCTTTTCTTTAACTTCCTGTAGCCTCCCTTGTGTCTTAGTGGCGTTATCGCCTTACTTGGGGTGAATTGATTAAAAACAAAAAAATTAACGGGGGAAAACGTGTCAGCTTTAACTGATGCCAGATTTGTCTTCACCAGTAAACTGTCTAACATTTAATGTTTTCCCTTGTCATTTAGTTTCTTTATTTTCTTTCTTTCATTCTCTCTGTCCGACAAAGTACATCTTGTGTTGGGCGCCTTGTTGTAGTCTAGTGCAAGGTTTCACAATGTGATCCATATTGCATCCTTGGGGGCCATGAAATACTTTCAGGAGCACAAGTTTGAAAAATAGCGGTCTTCGAAGAGGCACAGAAAATTTAGGACCCACGAAATACATATGAGGTATTTTGTAATAAATAATTATTATTTAAACTAAAATATTAAATTTATTAAGTTAATCTAAGCCATTTTGTTAACATAAATATGTATTGTATTTTTTTTTTCATTTGATCTATGCGAAATGGCCGTTTTTAGTTTTCAATAGTTTTTTTTTTTAATTTAAAACTCCTAATTTAAAGTTTAAATTAAGGTACGTGTTCACCAATTTGTCTTTACATTTTGAAAAGATAAATATTCTGAACAAAGGCTCCAAGGAAAAGACTCCACCCTGTTTTTCTTGCAAGGAAGCAATTAACGCATTTACGGGAAACTAAGACTGTTCTGGTTGAACGTTGGGAGATGGGAGTTTGCATAGTTTCCTTCCTTAGTTGCTTGATGATGACCTATCAGTGTATGTTGATCTTTGGAAGCAGTTGCATAATGATATGAAAACTCGCTTCTCTGATCTACTCCAAATGACAGTGCCGCACTGGTTTGTGGACCCTTTTTAAAGTTGATATCACCTCTACAAGAAAGTTTCATTGAACTTCAAAATAACACAGCAGCTCAAGCTAGGTTCAGGCGTGGATGATACCAGAAGCTGTGGATAAGTGAAGATGGACATAAGAATTTACCCACTACTCTGGAAAGATGTGAAGTTGCTCTTATTCGCTTTTCCCCCACATCTTATTCGGTTGAGTCTGGTTTCAGTCGGATGATTCATCTGTTGTCAAAGACTCGAAATCTCAAATTGGCATAAAGAACTCTCATTGGATTGAAGGGGGCCACGACCAGAATAAGTTAAAGAAACATTCGTCTGGTGCAGTTTTTCTCAAACTGATATGGCGGACCGGCATTTTTTCTCAATGTGTCACGTATCTGTAATATTCCGTGGTTAAACCAGAAACGATATATATAATGAATATAATAAAAGTTGACTATTTTTTATCTCCTTTATTTTGCCAAAAAAAAAAAAATCCATTATCAAAACTTATAAAAAGTAGCGTTGTGGGTATGACGATAAACTACGTCCAACAGCAAGGCCTCTGATCAGGAGGTTTTGAGTAGCGTGGAACCACCTCTTAATTGCTGGTGTTCCCAGATCCACCTTGACCCGGGGTGGTAGCACCTGTTAGGGTCCCAACTATGGGCAAATAGTTAACTCCCAAACTAAGGTCAAAGTGTAAAAATAGGTTTTAATACCAGAAATACTTTGTAAAAAAAAAAAAAAAAAAAAAAAAAATTATTACCAGCAATACACTTTTTCGAAAAAAAATATTACCAGCAATACATTTATGGATAAATAAATAAATAAAAAAATTACCAACAATAGATATTTGAAAGAATATTATTACCATAAATAGATTTATGAAGGAAAATTTTTTTTATCCGAAATTGATTTGTTGTAGAAAAAAATATATTGCCAAAAATAGATTTCTGAAAAAAAAAATATTACCAATAATAAAAATTGTCGGCATTAAATAACCCATTGAGATTGATATGCCGTAAAACAAAACAAACCAATATAAAAAGTAATAAAAAAAATAAGCTGTTTATTAACACAAAAAGAAAAATTATATAACCTTAATCTTTACAAATGATTTCTTATTTTGGCCTGGACACTGGCCGCGTACCGATAGCTAATGGTTCGCGTACCGGCACCAGTCCGTGTACCGGCACCAGTCCGTGTACCGGCACCAGTCCGCGGACCACCACTTTGAGTAGCACTGCTCTAGTGTAATATTTTGCAATCTGAATTCACTGATATTCATTGCTGCGTTCGATAATTTTAATTAAATATATAGACATTGTGTTCTCATTTCGCTCTCTATATCTAGAGATATCTCATCTTGTTCACTTTTAGTACTGCTTAGTTATTGCTTGCCCTAAGTTTGTACTATCCGGCCCAGAGATTGAACTCATAATTACTATGCAACCAAATTAACAAACCAATGCTTTAATCTACTAATTGGACGATAGTATAGTGGATTAAAACATTGGGTTGAACACTCGTTAGAAAGATGGCAAGCAATAATTGCAATATACAAAAAAAAAGATAACCAGATGAGATATCCCAATACATCAAAAGCAGAACAAGAACTATCTACTTCATAGATTAAATAAAGTGTTCGAAATTCCCTGAAAGTTACCTGGATAGACAAACACCCGAAGAATGCTAGCGAGCGCAAAACGTTGTGATAACAAAGATGAGGGTGTTAGACTAAATGTATATAACTCTCTACCCGCAAAAAGCGAGCACATGAATATTTTAGAGGTATGTCTGAAAGCCACATATCTAACTGCTAAGATGCTGGGGGCGGGGAAACCACCGACAAATAAAATCTGTTCATGGCAGAAATGTTTTCACATAAGCACCCTTGTGGAGGCACGGTGGAGTAATGGATAGCGGCTCTGATTAAATTCGAATTCCAGTGGAATACATTACGGGTATGAATCCTTTTTTCTCCCCCCCCCCAACTATGGGTAAATAGCAGGATAAACCGGGTTCTTGGATGGCAACTGGTCTACCGCAGAAAGAAATGTCAACCTACTGCGGAAAAAAAAACTGCCTCGTCAGTCATGTATCTTTCGATACATGATCGCCTAAGCATGTATCACGTATGGCACGTAAATTACACTTGTGGAAATCCTGCATCCACTACTCTCCCAGCTGTTTTGAGCTGTTTTGATTAATAGGTCAGGTTAAAGAGAGTTCTGTACTGCTGATAACATAAAACATTACTTTGAGAGACATGCGCCGCCAAGTAATTTCCATTGTCCATAGCGATATTGTAAGTCCTGTGCTAACACAGGTTCCTCTCTCGTACTCCTCGCTTGTGAAACTCTCTTCTAGCTGCTTGCTTTCCAGTCAACTTTGATCTTCACAAATTTAAATGCAATGTCAATCGTTACCTTCCCTCTTAATTCTTGTTCTTTTATTGTCCTCTCTCTTGGGGTTTTTTTTTCCTCATATTCTCCGACTCGGTAAACCTTTGCGTCTTAGTGGCTTTATTGCCATGCTAGGGGTGAAATTATTTTTTAAAAATAGAAAAATTACCCAGTACAACATGTCGATGATCAATACGTCCGGCGAAATGTCTGCAGGCATTTGAAATCTTGATGACAACAGTTGTTCTGTGTTGGACGAATTGGTAAAAAGATAATCAATGTATAAAAGGATTTCTGATGTTTCGATAAAACCGTAACAAAAAAAGTTATTTTAATAATCACATCTGATAGATCATGGGAACTGCACTGAGATTAAACATTTAAATAGGTTTGAACTGTTGGCTCAATCGTATTAGAGAACCTTACCTGTCTTCCATTCGCGCGGCTGATGTTAACCTCTAGGAGAGTGACTCATTGGGCGTTATCAGGCTAACATTTTCCTCTATTATGAAGTGAAAAGATTATATTGAATCAATTGTTGGGTCTTCTGCGAAGAAAGTTGGTTCACTAAGTTGTGCTAGACAATCTATCTTAAAAACATAAATCTAACATTTATTCTTGTTTCGAATATTGCTGCCACATCTGGTTTGATGCTTCTGCTATGCATTTATCTATTCTTGATAAAATCCAAAGAATCAGCAATGTTATCTATCCTGATCTGGCATCTCAACTTCTGTCACTTTTCCACCGCCGTGACGTAGCTTCTTTTTTCTATAAATACTTCCCTGGTAATAGGCTTTCCTCTTTGGTGCTCGAGTTTAAGAATTTAAGAGCAGTACTAGATTGGCAATTAGGTCTCATATCATTTTACTATTGAAACCTCTATATGTAACCAGTTTTATGCTAAGTTTCTTTTCTCGCATTTCTCACTTGTGAAACTCTCACCCAGCCTCTTGCGTTCTATTTTAACATTGGTTTTTAAGAATTTAAATGCAAATGCAATCGTTATCTTTTCTCGTATAAATTCCGGTTCTTTTATTGTTCTCTCTCCTTTTCTTTTCTTTTCTTTTTTTTTTTTTTTTTTTTTTTCGTGGCTTACGACCATACTATCTTTAAAGGCCGGTTCTCATACAATCGCCGAATTTAAGCAATGTCAAGCCTGGTCAGTATCTAGATGGGTGACCACTTGAGAATACCAGGTGCTGTAAGCTTGGATGCGCTAGTGGTGTCATGGATAACGGTTCTGAATTAGAAATCGGAGAGTAGAGATCCAATTTCCTGTCCTTTTAATAAATGTTTCCCCTTTTGTTATCTCTCTTAAACCCTGTTCTGCCCTCCACTTATGCAAACTCGTTCTCTTTCTTCTATGTGCCATGTTCAATAGGGACGTTGGTGATCATGCCTCTCCAAAATTTTATGTTTTTGTAGCTCTTAATAAATGTTGCCCTTTTGTTGCCTCTCCTAAACATCCATTTACTGAAGTTCTCTAGATAGGATATGCGTTGTTTTCCTCTGTCGTTTTTGCCTTCAATTTTTTTTAAGTATCAACTTTCCAAGCCTTCTTTTCTCTTAATATGCCTTAGAAATTTCAACAATCTATTTCTGATGTTAAGTATAAGGATCCTTTTTTGGTTTCATTTTCTCTGAGACTTCGTTGTTGCTCATATGTTCAGTCCATGGTATTCTCTACATCCTTCTGTAGAACCACATTTCTGTTGCTTTAAGTCTCTTCACCTGCGAGGATGCATCTATAAATTAGACAAGGCAGTAACACGTAACAAATCACTCGGCGACGCAGATCCAAGTCCTTGTACGTCCTGAGTAAGACAATAAACTACATCTGCGTTCAGGGTAAGACGATAAACTACATCTAACAGCAATGCCTCTGATAAGGAGGTTTTGAGGAGTGTGGAACCACCTCTTAATTGCTGGTGTTCCCAGGTCCACCCTGACCTGGGGTGGTAGAACCTGTTCAGGGTCCCAGCTATGGGCAAATAGCTAATCCTAAGCTGGTGTCAAAACGCTATGAAAGTGTAAAAATATGTTTTAATACCAGCAATGAATTTTTTAAAGTAAAGAATTATTACCAGCAATACATTATTACCAGCAAAACATTTTTGGAAAAAAAAAATATTACCAGCAATACATTTTTTTTTCTTTTTTTTTTTTTAAATATTAGCAGCAAAAAAACCTTGTCAACATTAAATAACCCATTGAGGCTGATATGCCGTAAAACCAAACCAAATCAAAACCAAATCATTATGCACACAAAGTAATAATTAAACAAGAACCAAGGTGGGGTATAATATAGCGATTTTCTAAGCGTAGCTTAGATGTGGCACAAGGCCTAAAGTATGGGGCACCCAGTGAGGATCTAACTCCCTACTCATTCGTAATTGTTTTAGCGAGACAAGCTTGCTAACCATTACACCGTCTCGAGGTGCCCAACCAAGAAGGATATGATATATATTGGACCATATTCTGCTGATAAAACCTATTCATTTAAATTTTATTCATCTAAAATATAAATCAGATTGCATGTGCAAGCACTTGAAATCCTGAGAAATAAATATGCAAATTAACTGTGTGCATGGAAGTTTATATCTACCAACATGTATCATCTCTTGGTTAACTTAGCCGTACTTGCTTAATAAAGACAATTTGCGTATTTCATTATGAAAATCAAAGTTTTTAAATAATTGTTTTGTCACTTATTTCCAGTTTGGTGTTTCATAATCTTTGTGAATAAGTGATAGTTTTATAGACGACTTTTATAATTAAATTACTTATTCAAATAAAACTTCCTCTTTTGAAAATAGTAACCACCTTAGTATTTTGAACACGGCATATAAATAAATTAAGGGAAGCAACAAATGCCAAGATTATTTTCTTTTCTTTTTTATGAGTCATGTCCTTTCATGATGTTGGCGATCATGGCTCTCCACCTCCCTCTATCCCTTGCAGCTCTCAGCAAGTTCCTTCCCCTCTGCTATCTCCTCCAGACCACGTTCTGTCATCCACCTGCTCAAGCCCTCCAGAAATGTCACGCGCTGCTTTCCCTTGTCTTTCTTTCCCTCTATTCGACCTGTGAGTATCAGATTCTCCTGGTCCTACGTCCTCATTATGTGTCCCAGAAACTTCAGCTGCCTCTTCCTGGTGTTAAGCATGAGCCTCCACCTTGTCTGCATTCTCTCCAAGACCTCATCGTTGCACACACGCTCGGTCCACGAAATTCTCAGCATCCTTCTTTAGGACCACATCTCCGTCGCCTCGAGTCTCTTCCTCATCCTTGAGGAAATCGTCCAGCATTTGCTGCCATAATGGAGGACAGATATCACGTATTATTTTCTTTGTTACCAAAAGTATCCTCCTGTTTAACAATACTCTGCCCAGCTTTTGGAATGCGTCCTTGGCCATCCCCATACGTCTACAGATCTCGGTGTCGCTGACATTATTAAAATATGCCATAAAAAATCTAATCAATATCATAAATTGTAACGTACTATTGTAGCCTAATCATATATGCAATAAAGGATTATTAAAATGACTTTAATGGCAGCTTTACCTCCTTTTTTTTTTCTTTTTCTGAATTGACAAAACGACAATTGGAGACAAGACGTAGTTAAGATAAACAAGACATTTTATTTCCCTATGTTTTGCAATGTTTGATCATTTGCTCATTCCAGGGTATCATCCGTTAGCCATGGGAGATTGCGAGTTCATTTGGAACAGGGGTGGCCAACCTTTTGATTCCATGCGCCAATATTTTGTACGATTAATTTAAATGCGCCACACAAACATTCACTTCCTTTCCGTACGTGTTGTAATATGGACATATTTTAAAGTTATAATAAAATCTATTTATTAGAAAAATACATGCTTATGACCAGGGGTGTATCCTTTTAGCACTTTCGCAAAGGACGTGCAATAAATATAAAATCACTGAAATGAATGAATAGAATTGGCTTAGTTTCTCTTCAACAAAAGGATGCAATGCGCCGCTTGTAAGCATCCAATGCGCCACAGGTTGGCCATCCTTGATTTGGAGTATAACACAAGGTGGTCGTTGAGACACATACAGAGAAAATCAACATACATATTTAACCTTTAGTACTCTGCATTATTAATATCACTTCCCTTTCCACTGCATTCTTTTTCAATGCCTCTCAATTGCAGTATCCTCATTGTTAATTTCGCTCAAAGTTGTTTTCCGTTGCCATAGAAGGATATGGCAATATAACTATAAAATTCAAACACACTATTGTTAAGGGATCAGTCATCTTCAGTGGCAGGATAAACTTTTTATACAGGAAATAAACTCCCATACAGAGTGATTGAAGTTAATTGAGAGAGGCGTGGGGAGAAAATCAACATACGCGCATTTAATCGAACGAGATAGGCTCGTGGGGAGAGAATCAAACACACACACATTTAATCGAGTGTTATAGACTTTTAAGGATAAAGTCAACGCACATATTTAATCAGTATGATAGACTTATGGGGAGAAAATCAACACGCACATTTTTAATGGAGCGAAATAGATGTGAGGACAAAATCATAACACGCATATTCAATCGAACAAAATAGAATCGTGGGAAGAAAATCAACATACACGCATTTAATCGTGTGAGGTAACCATAGGGAGAAATATGCCACGATTTATCACATTGTCGAGAGTTGGTCTCTGCTATTGCTTATGGTTTTGTCGTTGGCAGAAGGTATTGATAGCTGGGTGTCACCGTTGATGATCTGGTTATGCTTGACTGTCATGGGGGTCCATTGCTAATACCAACCAGGTTGGATCTACCTTCATGAAATCAACATTGGCTTTATAGTCAGTCAGTGGCTCAGAAACGGCTGCTGCGAAAACCTTTTTTCTGATTGCTTAGAAAAGTTGTATGACCATAGAATTCTGGTGGTGGGTGAATAGAGCTGGACAACATTAAGGTTTTTTTTTATGAGCTAAAGAATTGGAGTTCCAACTGGGTGGGGCATGTTTACAACCGACAAATTGTATCACGGTAATTTTGTTAATACACTTTTACATGTTCAAATCTCTCGCAAAAATTACGTCAGTGTGCAATGTAGTAAACGAAATGGATATTAGGACAGGTTTATTTTTAATTTTTAGAAAAGCAACATTGCACTCAATGCGACGTCTGAGGTCTGATGTGATAAGTATTTTCACCAAAAATTAGATTTGTACCTTTCATCAATTTTTGAGCATTTAGTTTTAAAGGCCGTCTGGAAAAGTACATAAATGCCTAATTTCCACACGTTTTTGCTTACAAACCAACTTCAAAATTTTACTATTTCAAGAATAAATCCAAATGAAGTTGACATTTTTGTATAAGATACATTGAAGGGAAAATATTTTCATACCAGAATTCTAATTGGGAATCACCACAAGCAAAATGTGCAATTCTTTTTACTGTATTCAGTAACTAAAAGCTGCGTAATAAAAGAAAAAATTGTGAAAGATTACAAGAAAGGCTACTCAATGATTAAGATGTCTTAAATCATAATTAATATGGACAAAAAATAGATAAGTGTATAACACCATAATACTGCCGGGCACAAATTATAAGTCAAACGTATTTTAAATTTGCATTGTTTATTGAAAATCAAACTAAAACTACTACGCTTTATAACATTATTACGTCATATAACTAAATTGTTCAATATAATTTCCCTTTGAAGAAAATGAAGGTCTTATTTGATGGCACAATGATTCAGTAATAATGTTCTTATGCCATGCATCTTGTCCATATACAATTTGTAAAGCTTCCGTAAATTATACATTTGATAAAGTTGTGCGATAAGGCTTTCACTAATCACCGGGTTTAAATCCAACACTATGATTATGAACCTAAACTGAAACTTTTAAACTTGTTTCCTTAAAAGACACTGAGGATTTGCAAAGATAGTTTGTCACAATTTATCATTTCGACAATTTTTAAATTGAGTGCAATACCACGGTTCCAAAAGTAACCTGCCCTAATGAACATGACACCATTACGAGTCCATTTATTAAGTAGACTTTCTTTTTTTTTTCTTTGGCCCTCAAAATGTCTTGAATATATATGACCCTCTTACTGGAGGTTTTGGAAACAACCGAGTTTCTCACATGATATACTTTCTTTAATCCATGTTTCAAATATATTTTTAATTCTTTAATCCATTCTGCAAATGTTATTTTCTTTGCTGTG